AAGAACGTCTCAGATGTCTCTACGGGGACGTTTTGTCAGATTTAGTTCACTTCTGGAGACAAATATGCCCCAAAAATACAGCTAGTCAGTAAACCCACACTTAAACACACACACACACACACACACTCTACTTACCTATAGACAAACACAGCCTAACTGGACTAAACACAGTTGAGCATTAATCTGAGACGTGTCCTGAAATCAGATCACATTACAGTTGGTTTTTTACCTTATTTATTACTGCATTTATTCATATTCTGTCAGCAGACACTGTAAATTCTATGAAGTTAGCAGTACTCAAAACATACTGAGGTCATCAGCTACATCCTATTTTTGAGTTAATAAACTCTGATAGTACAGTTAGTACGCTTCACAAGAAAATACTATTTCAGTCTTTCTACTTCAACTAATTTCAGATTTAATTCAACATGTTACTTGCCATTTCTTTGTAATCATTTGTGAAATTTACAAGCAATTTCGGAGTTAAAAATGGTTCAGATTAAAAAAAGTTTTTTTTCCCCAGTTTACACAACAGGGTTATTATCGTTAACTAAAACTAAAACTATTAAAAACACTTTTGTTAATTCAAATAAAGCTGAAATAAAATAAAATATAAATATTAGATTAAAAAACACTTAAAATAAACAAACATTATAAATGCTGCCTCGCAACTACCTGAAATAAGTTTAAGTAGAAACATTAAAATTACTAATTGGAAACTAAAACCAAAATTGAAATAAATATAAATCAAACCTAAATAATATAACAACATTTTTTTATTATTTATAATATAAATAATTAAAAACAAACAAAAATGACAAAAGCACAAAACAAAATAACAGAAAAATAATCTATTTAAATAAAAACTGAAATAATTCAAAATGATGATAAAAACTATAAAGCATATAAATGCATGCTAACTGCACTTAACAGAGTAAGCTAACTCAATTAACTCGACTGAATATCTTCTCAGCTCACCGTACACTGTATCCCACAATGCACTGGGGTCCGCATGAGCGTCTGTGTGATGAATGAAGCGGCAATAACATGCGCCGTGACAAACGTTACAACATTTTTAAACTAACCTGGATTAAAAATGCAAATGAACTGTCAGAGATGATAAATGGACGGCAGTCGCTGAATTAAAGACGCAGTGCAATGAAGTCGTGTGGCTTACTGCTGCTGTACGGCTGCGTGCTTGCTGTCTGAAGGGTGCAGTATGCAGTGCACTAGCTAGTACTCACAGGTTGTCGGAATGGCTGTGTAGGGGCAGTGGGCGGAGTTTCCATGCTTCTCTGCCGCGACGTGGCAAAGCTCTTCCTGCGAGCACGAGCGTGCTCTGAAACACAACACACACAGAGAGAGAGAGAGAGAGATAATTATTCACTTAGAGTCCACAGAAACACACACACAGGGCTGTATCTCTCTGGGCTGTTGTCTTGTTTTGTGGTGATTCATCCCTCAGGACAGCAAACCTTTACAGAACTTCCATTCCTGCTGCTATAAATACACGCACGCAGCAGCCTCCATCTCTCTCTCTTCAGTCCCACATATTCATCATGCAGCTCTCAGCATAATCACAGCAGAAATAAAGCCAGAGGGTTCACAGAAACACAAGCTCTCCATCTACTGTCGGTCTCCGCCGAGGACGACGTCTACGATACCTAGACATGATCTCGAAGCGCTGACATCCGCGTTCGACTCGCCGGTGGCTTCTCAGATTCACTGAAAGTACTTGACCTGCCACTTCCAGGTCTGACACTCCGCTGTAAATAACCGGATAACTGTGCCCGGTTGCATAAAGCACCTTAAGTTTTTCTTTTAAGTATGAGACTTAAGGCGTGATTTTCCCTTACCGAAGGGATTGATTTAAGCGTGCTGCATATAAACCCTTAGCAAAGGGAAACCGTTAGGTGTTTCACGACTTGACCCAGGTTTTGCCGTTTTCACAGAAAAACAATATAACATGGATATATAGGCAAACAAAAAAGAAAACCAAATATGAAAGAGACGGATTAAAACTCAAATTGATAATTCACTCAAAACTCACCCGTGTGTCAGTTCAAAACCATGACTTTAATTCATCTTTGGACAACAAATAAAGATCTCTCATCATTGCTGTCCATGTAGAGGTTTTCAGGGACTAGTGTGATTAAATATACACATTTAAACTTCAGATCGTCTATGCATGATGTTTTCCAAAATTGATGTGAACGTTAAAGCGCTAAACTCTCATGCAGCGTGTGTTTCATTCATACTCGAAGCCGGAGGGCGCTCTCGCGCCGAAAGTCCAGATTCATCGAATAAAAAGCAGAAACGTAAACACAATAACTCACAATTGCAACAATATACGATTAATGTGTGTTTTACAAGTCATCTCCAGGTAGTATGTAGGAAACCACAGGAATAAAATATTATGGAATATAAATTTGCTCTTGAGTGTGACGCACTCACGTTTGAGCTAATTATGTGCTGTATGTAATTTGATCAATGTTTATATGTGAATAAATGCGTAAATTTAAATCTGATTAACATATAAAGCGGCCGATCATGACTTGTAGAAGACTTTTGTGTAACACTTAAGGTGACTTTTTCCAACCCTTGTTATATCCTTAGGAAAATTACAGTTAAGGGGCTTTATGCAACACTTAATGGGTTTTAAGGGATACTTAAGAGAAATTCTAAGGGTTTATGACGTTTCACCTACAGAAACCCTTAAGTAACATTTATTTAACTCCAAAATCTTAAGGGAAAATTACACTTAAGGTGCTTCATGCAACCGGGCACTGGACCTTGATCTTCACCCATTAGGCCACACCCACCCAATCAGTTAGTCTCCGCCCACTCACTTAGACTCCACCCACTCAGCACTGCCTCTTTAAGCATTCGAATGTAAAAATGTAAACTAACTGATACCATGATACTTTTCCAGGGGATTAATCACAGTACGTTAAGACAATTGTTTTGTATTACAAATTTTTTGAAAGTTACGTTTTAATATGCAAATAAGGCATTATCTAATTAAATATGCACTAATTTGGATATTTTTCCAGAACAGAAATCTTGAAATTCTTTGTTGTCATATTCGAGTTAAAGGTTTTTCCAGAGTGGATTTTTGATTTCTATTTTCATCACTCCATAAATCAGAAAATACTGTCACCAGACAGAAAACAAACACATTTTCACCATGTTTTTAGGAGTAAAATGTTATATAAATCAGTGTGAATTAAATTTCAACAAACCCCTCAGTAAAAACCTTCAGGATATAAGTTTTGGTGTATTTAAGTGCTGCTGAAGTGGAGAAACAAACTTTTAAAGATATGGATTGGAATTGAAATCTACAGATGCACATAGATAAAGTGCAATAAAACAAACACTTGGCTCAACCACAAGAGCAGCTCTCTGTCAATCTTTATGTTGCGATAATAACGAGTCCAATAAAGAAAGAAGTTAATTAACAGTATTCACCGTTGTAACAGTAAACTGTCTGTCATCACATGCACACACTGCAGTATTTGTATTTTTAGTGTGTGGTGTTCATGAGCATATCTAAAGTACTTTATAAGAACTGACACCTTCTACTCTCAGGCTGTTTTGCTTCTTATTATCCATTTCATGGGTTTTAAATATTTATTTTCACATTTAAATTCAGCTCGGAGATGACTAATAACTCCTCTCTGCATAACATCTTAAAGCTCCGCTGTGATTTACATTCGTTTCTGTGTCCAAGAGCTTTGTAAAATTACTTTATATGTGATAAAGACTCCAGACGTGTTTTTTTCTCTCAGTCAGATGCCCAACACAAGCAAATATCCCTCAGATCGTCATCCATTTAACAGCAAACCACAAAGTGTTTTTTCTTGTAGGCGATCAGACCCTCACACCACTTCACCTGACCGTAACACACAAATGTTCTCAGCGCCGCTCGATTAAGGGCTATAAATGGCTCTCTGTGTCATTTCTCAGTCAGATCTGAACTCTGGAAGCTGAAGTGTTTAGGAAACCTGTTAGGAAACAGTCATCATCACTAATACTACTCATAAGATATGAAACGGTACAAAAATTTCAGTATTCGGTACCAATACCAGTGAAAACCCACGGTTCTCGGTACCAAAGCAAAACACAAGCCAATTTAAAAAATTGACTATACTTTAATTTAATCCAAACTGTGTACATATTTAATTTTAAAGGGCTTTTGAAAACCTTCTAGAGTTATTCAGCCAAGAATAACAGCTAAGTTAGTTAGTTACTAAGTTGCTTTTCTGACTGATGACACAAACAATGTTAACCATTTATACATTCAATAACACGCATATTTTAGATTCACAATTCATTTAAAGCCTCTGGTGTGTAAAAACAGTAAATATCATCATGTCCTCCTGTTTTTTTACCCTAATAAAAGTTATAGGAGCATTAAATAGTTAATAAAGAAACTTCATTCTAATGCTCATTATATTAGCGTTAGCCACGCTTATGTTAACGATGAACTACTCTAATAACAGCGATGTTCATTTCAATCCGACATTCAAATTAAAATATTGAATAATATTCATAACAGAAGCGGTGTTTCCCACAGACTTGCACTCTATTTGCAAATTCATTCTCTTTGACACGTGCCGTGCTCATGTTTATTCAATGAAGTCAAAGCCTTTTGGAAAATCTATTTGTGGCGGTCAGTTTTGATATTGTGGCGGGCGCCACAAATAAATCAATGTATAGGAAACACAAGATCTCAATATTAAAAATGAAAATGAAACTTACCTGCTTGAACTCTTTCATTTGACTCGGGTGTCTGTCTTTAAAGTGTTTTGTTAGTTTGGTGTATGGTGTCTCCGTGCTTTTATGAAGAGAGCGCATCTGCGCAGCTTTCGGACAGCGCATCAAGAACCGGGTTGACCGTGTACTCGGTACCACCGGTACTTAAAAAACCTGGTACCGTAACGTTTTAATTTTTTTAGTACCGACTTGGTACCGAAGTACCGGGTCTTTTGACAACACTACATCAATGTGTAACTCTTTAGACTTGATCCAGTAAGAAACCACCTAGCAACCACCAAGAGCACCCTAGCAACACCCTGACAACCACTCTAGCAGTGACTCTGGCACAATCCAACACCAATAGTGTATTTTCTGCTGAACATGTAAAAATGTGGTTATTGCTGTGAGTGTGTTTAAAAGAACAGTTCAGCCAAAACTGAAAACGCGCTGAAAATGTTCTCACCCTCAGATCATCTGAGATGTGAATGAGTTTGTTTCTTCATCAGATTTGTAGAAATGTAGCATTGTGTCTCATTGATGGATGCTCTGCAGTGAATGGGTGCCGTGAGAATGAGAGTCCAAACAGCTGATAAAAACATCACAATAATCCACAAGTAATTCACAGCACTGCAGTCCATCAGTTAACATCTGGAGAAGACAAAAGCTGAAACTAATCCAGCATTAAGATGTTTTTAACTAAAATACATAGAGTCCATAATCCATAATCACACTTCCTCCAGTGAAAAAGTGCAAATTTCTCCTGTTGTCCCTCACATCCAAATCCAGCCACAGATTTGTTTAGAGTAGGGCTGGTCCAAATACCATTTTTTGAGCTTCGAAGCTTCGGTAGTAATCATATTCTTATCTCAACACCGTGTCTACACCGGACGCCGCGCCTCAACAAATTGCGGACCCAAGGGTTAGGTTTAGTGTCGCATTTTGGTGCAATATGGACACGCGACACGTTCAGAATTAATAAACTTTTAATAAACTACAGAACAGCGCGAGCCAGAAGCGGCGCGTCTCACGCGGGCAGGGCTTATATCAGGGCTCAACGCTAAGGATTTTTTCTACTGGTCCAGTCAGGCCAGTGGTTCAATGGTTGCCCTGAAACATTTTCACTGGCCCTGCCACAAAAAATAAAATAGTTGCTGTTATCATTGTTTTTGATCAGTTATCTTGTATTCTAATAAATAAGCTTATATGACACCAATATTTTAGATACCAATGAAATTAAAAAATTTCGATAACACAGCAAAAATCACTAGCCAAAAATAAACATAAATATAAAGTAGGGCTGCACGATATATCGAAATATCGCAAATGTAAATATCGCAATATGCATATCGCAACGGCGTGCGATATCATTATCATTTTAATAATAGGCTACTTAAATCAAAACGTTGCAAAAGGTCAAAGTTTTAGTTCGACGCATATAGCAGAGAATTGCTTGATGTTAAAAAGAGTTAAGTGCAATAAGCTGCAGAAAACAACTCTTTGCCGTCTCGTCTTGCTGTCTGACTCACACCTGAAGCGCACACACAGAGAGACGCGTTTCAGACCGAGTTAATTCGTCTTT